CAGTTTCCCTTTTTCCATCGCGTGTACAAAGATAGAAAGAGAAACTAAGACGCTCGGAAATGCGTGAAACAAGGACGATAGATGCAGCATACCCAACTTGCCAACGCTAAATGTTTTTTACTTTTCACGGTTGATAGCCCTGGGAATCTATAGCCGTCGCAAAGCAAAAGTAGGCGTGGTTTAGCCGAACTGAGCACACCATGTTATCCCTTCCACCATGGCTCTAGCTGTGACTGGTCAATTTTTTTCTTTATTGGTTGCGCGGAGCGTTTTCCGCGCAACACACGGACACGATTGCGTTTGCGTGTGTGTGCGAGCACTGTAGAGTGTAGGTAGATACAGCACCTGTCATCTGTGGTGCTGACTGCTGTGTGGTGCATGGGGCTAGAGAGTGGAAGCCAAGAGTTTTCATCCCTGAGAGACCGGAAATATCAGAACTTGGAATTAAAACGTGACAAAGCAAGAGGTCCGTAGTTGTCCGTGGTACGCAACGACTTGTTCTTTAACCAAGTTCTCACTCACGGGATGGAGAGCGTATCGATGGATGATGTGGACTCACGGGGGCAAGAGGCGATGCTGTCCGACAGTCCTAATCATGATGCACCTGGTCCTGGGATTGTGCATTTCAGTTTTAACTTGGCGTCGGTGGATTCGGGAGTGGAAACCGGAAACGATTCGAATGACAGCTCGAGCGTTCAGCAAGACGGCCAGCAACAGCAAGCTGCCGGCCGGGACCTCAGACGCGACGATCATATGATAATGCATATGGACATGAGCGAGTTGGCCGCTTTTATGCACAGTTCTCTGTTCCTCCCGGGTGAGCCCAGACTGAGTCCCTTCAAGACCGAGATCGATAGGCTTTTGCAAAGGAAGAGGTTATTCAAAACCAAGGTATCTACTGTCGCTGCACGCTGGTAAACAGCTCCAAGTTACAGGACGACGCCAAGAACTCGTCCGAGAGGCTCTGTCTAGAATAGAGATGCAAGGCGGAGACTTTGTCTCTTTCCAACTGTTAAGCCCAATCTACAATGTGCTCTTTGCATTTAGAAACATCCTATTTTGTAGACAATAAATGTTTAAAAAATTTTTGCAAGTTGATAAATTGTATATTATACATTGTACAATTGTACATTGTCGACAAAGTTTTTTTAAGCGTTTTGATTTGCTGATATAAGATAGAATATATAGGAAGGAGAAGTGCCAATGTGAGCCACAAAATGAACGGAACTCGGTTCTCACAATACATGTAGAAAGAATTTCTCTTTAATATAAAACGTTTTGGCCCTTCTTCGGGTCTTCCTCAGTAAGACTCTTAAATACAATTTAACAAAGCAGTCAACGGTTACATCAGCTACATTAGATGAGTCCGCGGCGACGATATTGGAACGACTATGTTAAAATAAAATAGAATGTTTCTAGACGCAAAGAGCACATTGTAGATTAGGCTCTCTTTTAGAAAGAGACAAACATGAATTAAACTAAGATTACAGTTAAGCGATATTTGATGGAGCCACTTTAAGGCCCAATTTTACCAACGTTGTTTAACTTTAAGCCTAATTAGCTTAATTCGTTCTTGGCCTCTTCTGCTGTTACTTTAGAAAGAGACAAACGTGAATTAAACTAAGATTAAAGTTAAACGATGTTTGGTGAAATCGGACCTAAGTCGCTGATATACATGTACAGGCCTATTTTTTACCACTACATTAAAATTCTCGCTTTTGTCAAACTCAATATATGTATATATATATATATATATATATCCTTGCTGATTTGGTTGGAACTTTGTAATTTGACATATTTTAAAGCGTAAAATACAGGTGTAAAAATTATAATCGTTGCTTTAAAGTAAAAAAAAGTTATGCGTTAAAATATGACAGCTGTTCTACTAGTTGTATTCTACGCTACATGCTTGGTATGGCAGATTTCTCAAATCTTGTCATATCTAACACATTATGATCTTTTCTCTGATGCATAGCGACGATTTTTACTTTCATGCTCGTATTTTACGCACCAAAATAGACAAATTTGTAAAGTTTCAGCTAAATCGGTAAAGAGGCTGCACTCTTTCAGTGATAACCACATAATAAAACTTATTTTTCCTGCTTTAGTGGGACAATTTTAACTTTCACATTCAAGTTTGCACATTGAAGTACACAAAATTACAAAGTTTCAACCAAGGGGTAAACCGCTGAGGGTATTGTGGTATACAGATTTGTGGCATTACTGGGCATTACTAGACAGTTTTTGGGCATTAGTTTGGGCATTAGGTCTTGCTGGGGTATGAAGATAAAATAAGATAAAGTAATGCCCACTAGGCATTAGTAGGCGTTGGTGTACATGAGTTTGGTGAGCAGTTTATCCCTTGGTTTCAACCGAATTAGTGCTCCTTTTTTCGGTATTACCGTTTTCTGCTGAATGTAACCATTAAAAATAATATAATAATTATAAACGTTGGATTAAAACGAATCTCGTCTCAGGTATTTCCAACACTCGGAAAGCAAAAGAGTTGCCAGCTATCTAAAGCCAGTGAGTACCTTTACAAATTTTGACCTATCTACATTTTGGTTATTTTGCACTTTTTAAATTTTATTTTGATTTTTAAAAGAAGTCATAATCATATCTCTTTACTGCATTATTCTTTTTACCTTAAACAGCTTCTTTCATTTTAAACATGTTTATTTATACAGGGTGTTATGTAATACCCGCATCAACGCTTATTGTGAGATAGAGTGGACTAGACTAAGTCGAAAAGTCCTATACCACTTTGCAGGTTTTGCAATAGTTAACGAGTTATTAATTATTAAAAATCGCTGTCAGGACTTTTCGACTTAGTCTAGTCCACTCTATCCCACAATAAGCGTTGATGCGGGTATTACATAATGTATAAATAATAATCTCGATTCTTGATTAATTGTAAGTTTTGTTGTATACATAGAATATTTTAATGCCGTAGGTGCTGTCTATCGCCATAAGATGAGAGAACGTATGTTTCGTACATTGCACAAAGACATGATCCGCTTGTTCAGTGATGTACAAATTGAACGTGTTGAACAAAAGATGCGGTTCGCTGCTACCACGAATAATGTGGATCTGATAAAAAAACTTTTGGACTTTGGCGTATCGCCTAATAATCAAGATGAACATGGGCGAACTCCTCTCCATATTTCAGCGTGCAGGTAATTTATGTATTTAAAATAAAGAAATGTCCATGTTTTCTTACATGAAATGAGTAACACGAGGAGAAAACCGCTGAGGGCTTTATGGTGTACAGATTTGCGACTTTACTGGGCATTACTAGGCATTTTTTGGCATTAGTTTGGGCATTAAGCCTTGCTGGGGCATTATAAAGATGTAATAAGATATAACAAGATAAAACAAGATAAATAAGATAAAATATGATAATAAGATAACGTAATGCCTACTGGGCATTAGTGGGCATTGGTGTACAAGATTTTGGCCAGCGGTTTCCCCCTCGGAGTAATATGTCTGAAAGTAGAACTTCTCGAATCAAATCTTGTGTCCACAATCCGAGAACTGTATCTAAGTTCTAGTTCCGAGAAATGTGTAGCCAATCAACTTGCATTGTTTATGGGAAAGCATTTCTTGGAACTAAAACTTGGACACAGTTCTTGGATCGTGGATACAAGACTTTAGTGAAGTCATTAATACACATGTGTATGTATACATTCTGGTAATAGCTCAAAATTAAATTACTATTCAAACTTTGTGTCCTTTGTTACAGAGGTTATACAAAAATAGTTAGTTTGCTATTAGAAAACGGTGCAGACCCGAATAAGCGTGACTGCATAGGAAACACGCCGCTGCATCTAGCTACGGTTAACAGCAAACTATCGGTAGTGATGCCGCTCTTAACCGCTGGTACTGACGTCCTCGCATTAGACTCATATGGCTACAATCCATTGCAATTAGCAAAAACGAAATTGAGGATGTTACAACGAAACTGTAACAATGAGGATATGCTTAAAGTCAAGGAGGAGATGCATGATGTAATTAATATGTTAATGGCGTATCTACAGAAGCAAAACAATACGCAAAAACAAGTAGAGACATTGAGCAATTTCTGTTCGCGTTTGTCCTTGTCCAACACCTCGAATCAGGTTCAGGACGACGTTAAAGATTTATTGGCAAACATAAACGCTCTCAATATAACTGATTAATCATCGTGAATAAGATATGCCATTGTAATATTACATGCACTCTCTATTTGTACATTTAGTAACATTTTTTTTATTAAAAACTTAAATAAGTATGTGCTTATGTATGTTTTTATGTACCTCTATGCGGCAATTTATTTCAAAGTGCAATCTACGTAGCAAAAATTACTTTTTTAAATCAATTATGGTGCTTTTGCCTCTTTCTCTTTCTCGATTTCTGCAGATTTAAGACTTCAATATGGGGATTCTGTAACTTGCTATTGATGGTTTTCGTTAACCAGCAACAGCCAATAGTAAAGATGATCCTTGGGGGGAAAAAAGCGCGGTTTTTATAGGTTGTCGCTAGTTAACACCGAAATCATCGAGCAAGTTACGGCATTCCCGTTTCTCGTTGCGGTTGTTCTTGTTTGATAACATCAGAAACTAGAAATGACATGCTGAAGATCCTTGCATGTCACTTTCAAATAAAAATATGAAAGAACACTTTAGATCGCTTTAGTACACTTATAAAATATTCCGAAAACTATCTCTTCTTTGATAGTTAATAAACAAACGTAAAATAAATGTGATGTGCTCAATCTTAATTTTTCTCATCCAAACGTCTTTTTATTTGAAAATAGCACGCAAGAATTTTCAGTGTGTCATTTCTTGTTTTTGACGTCATCAAACAAGGACAATAAAATAATACGTAATTGCATATTACATATAAATGTTGCATATCTCGCAATATAATTGTTGCATATCTCGCAATCAGTTGGCGTCCACACCGGCGGCCTTTCACGACATAGTTTACGGCGACGTGTTGCATGATCTTACCAAGTCCGAGGGAGATCCAGTTATCATAAAATCAGATGGCTATCCCACTTACCATTTTGCAAATGTAGTCGATGACCATTTTTATGGAAATATCTCATGTCTTACGGGGCGTTGAATGGCAAGTTTCTACACCTAAGCATATTATGCTTTACAAGTAAGCTGTTTTACTTGAGAGAGAGAGAGAGAGGACAATTAAATTCTTACAAAATTAGACTAGAAATCTTGTCTATCGTGCAGAGCGCTTGGCTGGAATCCTCCCATATATGGACACTTACCTTTTAATATTAAACGCGGATGGATCCAAGTTGTCCAAGAGACAGGGTGACATCAAAATCGAGTCATTTAGGAAACAGGGTATTTTTCCACTAGCGTTATTGAATTACGTGATAGGGGCTGGTGGTGGTTTCCACAAAGAACGAGAAAACCAACATCTTTACAGTTATCAAACATTAATTAAACAGGTAATTACGACCTGGTACTTTTGTACGTCGAGTTTTCTTCACGCGGTCCGAGAATATATCTTTAATAGAGATATGCTGACAGATTTCAAATATTTTATGGAACACATGATAAATAATTCTAACAAGAGAGAAAGAGAATGAGAAAGAAATTTTTTTTATAACAAGTTTGAATTTTTGGTAAATGTAAAAATTAGCAGCATATTTGTATATAGATTTGTCCTGTGCACTAAATATTGGACAAACATTTTCTTTATGTGTTTGTAAGCAATTTGACACGTCTGTAAAAAGTTTATCATACATGCAAAATCATTTTCGTGAAGAATTGAGAGCGATTTTGTATGAATTTCTTCTCCATCGGAAGCGTGTCTCACATACCTTCAATATAAAGCATAAAAATAAAATTGTTTTCGATAGACTAAATGAGGAAAATAATAGACGAAATTTCGCATTTTTTTTTGTATCTGTAGTCTAATAGTCTTTGTATTTGTAGGAAAATGTAAATAGTTTTCATAATCATTTTGCAAATACTGTCTACACAGTCCATTCTTAATACTGTAACTTTGTTAAATGTAAAGAAATAAAAGAGATATAAATAAAATTCGTACCGTATATTACCATTTTTTGTCATATATTTATATAGAAATCCGCCAATAAATCTAATGTTTTAACTAATTTACATCACGAAAAAATAGTGGTTTAATTAAATCTGTATATTAATACTTTTGCTAACTATAAAACAATTAACTAGTAAGAATATTCTTAAAAGTTGCCAGAAGTAATTAACAACATCAATGATTTTTATTGACCGTATATCTGGCAATTTTTATAATACAGAAAATTTATTGCGAAAAATATTACCTCAACCAGGGTTTGAACCTGGACCTCCCTTCTCTCTAGGCGGGCGTCTCAATCAATTCGACCACCGAGGCATATGCCTATATGTTATAAAACAATTATGTGTATATATAATGTGATATGTTCATAGACGTGCAGACTTTTTGTTTGGTGATATGGTACCATAGGAACAGCAATTTCAAATTTAAAAAAATTGTAATGAAATAAAAAATGACACCAGTCAAATTGCCTCTCACCTACATACTTCTTCGTGGAAAAAAGTGTATTATATACTATACATAGTCAATAAAACATTTTAAAGAATGTAATAGATAAATATATAAAATTCAAAGAAACAACATATGACAACATATCTCCATTAGTCATTATGGCTCATTCAGACTGAACGCGATGAGCGACGAGCGACGCGCGATATCCAATGGGCGTGCAGTCTTAATTTATAGGAAAACTGTACGCTTTCCCATAAAACCTGTACGCTCATTGGATAATCGCGCGTCGCTCGTCGCTCCAGTCTGAAGGTGCTATTAAGGTCCATTTTCATGCTGACGCTTGACGCTCACTTCGAGCGTCAAACTAGTGACTCTGGGGACTTTTTTGAATTGTAGCGTCAAGTGGAAAAAGCTAAAAAGATTTTAGCTTTCCTTGGCGTTAACAGCGTCAATTGTGCAATCTAAAAATATTGGCGAAGGAGAGTTTGCTTATTTCAATTAAGCCCGCTGCAGACGATGCTATTTTTCCTGCTGGATTGCTTGCGATTTAGTAAATTACTATCATTGCACCACTCAGCATTCAGGATTCCTAGTAATTTACTAAATTGCAAGCAATCCAGCAGGAAAAATAGCATCGTCTGCAGCGGGCTTTACACGTTAAATAGAGCGTCTTGGCACTCAAATCGAGCGTCAACTCGAAGTCAGCGTCAAGCGTCCACTTAACGCTACAATTCAAAAAAGTCCCCAAAGTAACTAGTTTGACGCTCGAAGTGAGCGTCAAGCGTCAGCATGAAAATGCACCTTTAGACGCTGAAATCTGCACGTTTAGACATCTGCGCAAAGGTGCTGCGCGCGCGTTTGACGCTTGACGCACGACACTTCCATGGGTTTGTTTTCTGTTCCTGCACTGGTGAACTAGTGCAGTAAGCTAGAATGAGAAAAAATATGCTTGTCTTACTCCAATTTATTGCACTAGTTCACTAGTGTAGGAACAGAAAACAAGCCTCATATAATAGCACCTTCAGATTTGCGTTTCTGCCACCTAGCCACCGCGGTAGTGGGGGATGGCGCGTGGTGGAAATTCGGCACGCACAC